GTAATTTGCTACACTTTGGCATCTTGGTATCCAGATGTTTTTGTAGATTGCTTTATTGATTTTATGTAGAATCATTGTGGTAGGTGTATGTTTTCTTTAGACTGCTTTGAGTAGTTGGTTGATTGTAGTTGTTTGGGCTTCTGAAATGATTCCTAGTAGGATATCTGGGGAGTAGTCGCTATGTGTAGCTGAATTTGTTATTTGGACGAGATCAACTAGTTGGTTCTTTGTTGTTTGTGGACTTGTGCTTTGGTACAGACTTTCGTGATCGCCTGTTGAATAATCTGAGCAGCTGTTGTAGTATTTGCTGGACAGAGGATCCAGTGTATATTGGTTTCAATTGCAGTTGCACATCTTGGGCAGTTTGGGCTAGGATATTTTTTGAGGTTGCGTGTATTAAGATTGAGAAGTGTTGAGAGTTCATCTAATAGTAATTTAATTTTGAAAGCCTTGATCTGAGATTGTTTAGGATGAGTAAATCTAGTTGTTGGTTTGTCATGGAAGTTAATAAAGTTATACATTGTGTCCCATGATATTAGTGCTCTGTGGGTGTTCTATCTTTCCATTCTGTTTTGTGAATGCCATCTGGCTATATGTTGTGCATTTTGAATATGTTGGATGAATCGACGAGGTGTATGCGTGATGCAGGCTTGTTGCCAGTGTGCTGTGTATATGTCTTGTCGAATGTGGGTATGTATAATATCAAAGCAAACTGTATTTGTATCAGATTGGGTGTGGATGAAGGTGTGGTCTATAAAAGCCATATTAATAGTAAGGTCTTTTTTGGCAACAAGTGCTTTAAATGTGAGCCAGTTAGCTCATAAGTGAGTAGAAAAGATAGGCGTGATGTTGTGAGCTAGAGTGTTGAGAATGTAGTTGGTAAGCTGTATAAACTTTAAATCATCTGTGTAGATTGTGAGGTTGGAGTTTGCATTTACGATTAATGTTATGCTAGATAGGGCATCTATTCAGGTTTTGTTCTTAGAGGGCTATGTTGGAGTGGTTTGATGAAGTTTGATGTTTGTTTCAGGTATGTACCAGGTTGTGGTATGTATTATTTTGTCAGCGGTGTTTGTGCTATGATAAGTTAGTATTATATTAATTGTGCTTCTTTTTGGGATTTGTTGATGTGTTTGCCAAAGAATTTGACCAGCTTCAATATGATATATTGAGTTGCTGATGTCTTCGTATATTGCTAGTTCTTTTTGGTTGGCTGTAGGTTTGTTAGGTAGGATCCTTGATGTAGTAGAGTTTTTGGCTTTGATAGAATAATTGTAATTTATGATATCAGTAAAGTTGTATTGAATTCTGTGTTTGCAATCAACTTGTATTGTGATTAACTGGTTGAGCAGTCTAGTGAGAGTACATTTTTTCTTGTGAAGTTTTGGATCATTGATTTTGCAGCCAGGGCAGGGCTTTATTGTATGGGTAGTAGGGTTAAGCTCCCAGTGGTGTATTATTGCTTTGTCTTATACTATTGATGTTATTTTTCTAATTATGTGTTGTGTTGGCTCGAGAATCTATGATTGTTTTTTAGCTTCTGCTGTTTGTGATGTATAAGAGTTGGGTTCGATTAAAGTGATGCTGTTTGTTTTAATTCTTTCTTTTATGATGTTAGTTACTTTGGCAAACCATTTTGGTTCTCTGCCATGTGAGATCTTTTGTATTATTTGTGGGAGGTAGAACCATGATGTTGTGTCTGTTTGGGTGTTGCCTGTGAATTGTTCTATTGTGTATAATCCTAGTAGATTGAACCTTTAAGGTGGTGTAGGATGGTATTAACTGAGTGTCCTGGGTTTGGTAGTAGTATTGGCCAATTATTACTTAGACTGCCTATTGTTATTTGTATTTTTTGTAGACTTTTTAGCATTTGTGCTGAAGGTAAGAGATGTTTTGGTTGGGCTATTATGTAGTCATGGTGCTGAAGGATAGATTTTGTGGTTGCTGCTGCGTGTTGTAGTTGCTGGAGTCTGATTTTAAAGGTAGACTTGTGAAATCCTGGGTGGTTAAGCTGGTAGAGGATAAGAGAGACATGCTGTTGTGTTTGAATGTCTTCGATGGTCTTTAGAGCATATATGGTGTTATGGAAGAGGATTGAGTTAGGAATTGATGCAGCAAGACCTGCTTTGTGTTTTGCTATATTTGTGTACTTGTTTGTTATTGTGGAGCAGAGAACGGGAGACAGTGCAGTATTTTGGACTCTGTAGCTGATTCTGGATAGGATTACAGCATTGATGATATATATCGTTTGTTTGTTGGTAATTTTGGCTTTTTTGATTTTTGTTAATACATTTGTTGTTTCTGCAGTAATGATGTCGTGTATTGGTGTTGGCTTTTTTGACATTGAGAACCAGCAGCCTAGAAATCTAAATGCTTGTTTGTGTTTTATGCTCTCTATAGTAGAGCCATTAAATGAGATACTAGGAGTGTCTGTAGGGTTTAGAGTGGCTAGTACTGACTTGTTTGGGTTTACTTGTATATTGGTGAAGCTGTAGAAGGTTGTAGCGGTGTTAAGGATTGCTTCTAGTTGTTGTTTAGATGGTGTGATCCATGTTGTGTCGTCCATGTAGGCCAGGACTGAATGGTTAGCTTCAATTTTATTAATTCTGTTGTTTGTTGTAACAGTTATATGGATAGTATAGCCTGTGTGTTCTCTACTAATTTTTGTTAGCATTGGATCATAATATATGCGCCAAAGCAGGGGCGTTATGGTCTTGCCTTGGTCGATGCCGTCATGTACTGGGTACGGCTCTGTAGTACCATGGTTAGTTATTACTGTATTGTGTCTGTTAGTGAATATATCTATGATAAGGTTTGTAATAGTTTGTGGTATCTTGATTCTGAGTAGTGCTTTCTTCAGTAGTAGGATATGGACAGAATCGTATGCCTTTGACATGTCCTGAGATAAGACCCAGAGTTCTTTTGAATATATGTTGGCCTCTTCGATTAGGTGTGTTAGAGTCATGATTGGTAGTGTTGTAGATGTGTTAAGTAGTGCGACGTGATTGTTAGTATTGAGGATTGGGTAGCGAGAAAGTGTTCTGTTAAGTCTATTTGTAATTATCTTGGTGAATATTTTTCTTGAGTGTTCTATCAGTGTAATAGGTCTAGTATGTTCTAAGTGCCCAGTAAAGATTTGTTTTTTTGATATTGGGTATATATGACTGTTTTTCTATAGGACTGGTATTTGTTGTAGCTGTAGACAGGCATTGTATATGTTAAGTAGTATTGCAAGCATAGTGTTGTCTAGGTGCTTTAACATTTCATTAGAGATGTTTTGTAGACCAGTAGCTTTGTTGGCAGGTGCTTCTTTTATGACTATGTTAAGCTCTTCTATTGAGATGATATCTGAGAGATTCTTGTACCAGGAGGTTTGTATTTTAGATATTGGTTCATACTCTTGTTGCCATGTGTTCCAGAGCAAAGTGTTTGTAGAATTCAATTTAGTCCATGCTTCGTAATGAGTTCGTATGTGATTTCTGATCTGAGGAGATTCTGTAATAATGTCAGTTGGTGTTTGTATATTATGGAGGATTACCGGATCTGAATGCCTTTTCAATATACTGTCAATTATCTTGGACGTGTTCTTGGCAAAATTGTCATTTCTATTTTGGATGTGCTGATTTATAGTTTGTGTATAAGCAATATTGTTTTCGAGCTTTTTTGCATGGTAGATTGTTTTTTGTATAGCTTTGAGTTTGCCTATAGTTGTACTAATGTTATCTGCTACTAGATCCTTGTCTGTTATTGGATTGAGTGCTACTTCGCTATGTTTATTTATTTGCTGAATTTGCAAGTTAATTTGGCATATGTCTAGGTTTGTGTTAGTCTTGTTGTTTAGGTTTCTAATTAGTTTGTTAATTGTTTTGAGAGTATAGTGTAGTGTTGTAGCCTTGGTTAAAAAGGCATAGAATGTTTTAGGTGAGGTTGTAGTAGTTGGTATATGTTTCGATGTTGCATTTTTTATTGCTATGTAAAATTCGTGCCAGTATTTATTGTAAGTTTTGAGGACCTTTATCTGTTGGTTTACAATGCTGCTTTTGCTGATCTGCTTTGTTGCTGTTTGAGTAAATTCAGTCCATAGGTCTGTTGTCATTTGGTCATATTGGTATACTATTCTTTTCTTTCTTTTATTTCTGGAGTTTTTTATCTTGGGGTTGTATTTCCATTCTATACTAATAATTTTGTGATCACTGTCAGTGATAAGGTCTGCTGACAGTAGTGTAGGACAGGTGAAGGCGTGTATGAGGTGGGTAGGTAACCATATATCGTCAATTTGGCTTTGTTTGTTTTGTCTAGACCATGTAGGAGAGGTGATGTTAAAATATTCCAGAGAACTGACAAGCCCAGTTGTTTGCATTGTCTGAAAGACAGTGATGCTTTTAGTGTATTTACTGCAGTCGTGGTTAAAGTCTCCCAGTACTATAGTATGGTAGTTGTTTTTGATAGCTTGCTCGATCCATTGTGTGACTGTTTGTTGTGTTTCCAGGTTAAGGTCTTTGTTGTTGGGTAGTAAGTATACTGATATGATACGGGTTCTGTTATGGTTGGGGAAGAAGAAGTCGATTGCAATAGCAGTACCAGGACGTGTAAAAATGTTGTGAATATATGGGTGGACTGGTTTTGTAACAGCTATTGCTGTACCCATGCTTGCTTCCTGGGTTTTTGCTGTTAGAATATCACAGTTTGCAGTATATATGTAGTAATAAGGGTTGCTGGTTTGTAGGTTAGTGTATGTGGATGCAGGTAGCTTTGTTTTGGTCATGCTTATTATGTGGAACTGGTGTGTGTTGCAGAATTCGAGCCATAGTTGTATTTTGAGCCTTGTGTTTAGCCCTTGTACGTTGTGTGTGGCGATTGTTATTTTGTCATATATAGGAGGAGCCGCATTGTATTCGTGTTCTATTGTATTATTTGCAGTTAGTGTATCTGTGATGGTAGGGTTGGTTTGAGGTGATGTTGCTTGGTAAGCAAGTTCAGCATTATTAGATGAAGTCATATTATTGAGAAAAGATTCCCCAGGTAGGTTCTGGGAGGGGTGGGAGTGCTAAGATTGAGTTGGGTATAGTTTTGACTATGAAGTGTTGATGTAATATTTTGAGGGTTTCAGAGGCAGCCTTTTGGTCTGTGATTGGAAGAGTTAGTTGTGTTGTGTCGATGTCATTATTTTTTAAGTAGTTAAGGATCTTATCTAACTCGTTTGGTATTGTTGGCTTTGTCAGTGGGATGTTTGTCAGGTTGGTTTTTTCTGTAGTGTTGGTTTGGATTTTTATCCAGGAGTCGGGGATGCAGTGGAAGTAGTAGGACTCTCTTAGTAATTTGGCTACCTCAGTTAAGGTTTTTGTTGAAGTGATAGGCATTAAAATACTGTAGTCTGTAATTAGCTCTGGGTCCTCAGGAAGTTCGGGCTTTTCAGTAGGATTAGCTGTCATTATTTCAGGAGATAGTGGCAGGTTGACTTTGTAGTTCTGGCTTATATCCAGAATGAATTCCATAGCATCCTCCTTGTCTTCGATTGGGAATGTATAAGTCTTCATAGTTTTGATCTTGTTTGGATCCTTGGGGAGAGGAAGTTTTGCTTGGTAGTAGTCGTTAGGTAAGTTTTTGAAGGTGTATTCTTCTCGTAATGCCTCGATAATTCTTTGAGAGTTGCCATGGCAGTCATTTGGATCAAGTAGAAAGTAGCTTCTATGTTTAGGGCTGAGGTCCTGGTATGCCAAGGGCAGGTGAGTCTTTAGTGGTAGCAAGTCAAAATAGTTGGATAGGATTATTTTGACTTCATAGTATTGGCTAAGTTTTCTTTTGTATTCGCCTAGGTCTCTAAGACATTTTCTATTAGTAATTGGGAATAGATCTCTTACTGCAGGGTGAAGGTTGGCTAGGTTTTTTGGAAGAGGGTTTAGGTTTGCGAAGTATTCCTCAGGTAGCTGATCAAATTGGTAAATGCGATGAAGTGCTGTGACTACAGCTTTAGTATGAGCTTTGTTTCTTATAGGTAAGGTGAAAGATAACATTTGTTGTATGTTTTCAGAAATATCGTCTAGGTAACTAGGTAGTTGTAGAAGTTTGCCTGAGAGGGCTTCTTGAACTGCTTTTTGGATGTCCTTATGTTTATTTAGCTCTGTGTCTTTTGTAAAGCCTTTGTAATATTTGATAAGTTGTGTGATGTATCTGGGAGGACAGGTATTGAAGTTTGTGTTTGTTATATGGTCGAGAAATAATTTTTGTCATAATTTCTGGTGGATGATGTCTCTTGTTTCTCTGTTGGTTATTGTGATCTGGTTGGCTTT